CTCATCATCGTTTAGCCTTCCCTGGTAGAATATCCTTCATAGACCCCTGTACACTACTATACATTCATTGTAATCTCGAAGTTTGTTAATAAAGATTTCATACGAAATACGTTATAATGAATAAGCTGAGACATTCGAAACCGGCTACGTAACACGCTGGAAAATATTGAACTGAATTGATTATACAGAAGACGCTTGGATCGAGAGTTCTAATAGAAAATCAAAGAATTGCATATTCAAATCAGAACTATATGTTTAACACGTCTATATCCGGAGAACTTTTTTCATTAAAGACTGAGTTATTCTCTAGACTAGAGTGCCCCTGCTGGTCTTGATGGTATACGAAAATTCTTTATTAGTTGACAGTTTCTAACATGAACACATGTAACATAACATGTAAAGTTTCCAGTAGAGTTTTGATAGCGAGGAGTAAGGAAGTTCTCTCACTCTCAACCATTGTTGTGGAGGAGAAATTCAAAAGTCAAATGCTGGGATGTTCTTCGTAAATTGAAAATTAATTTCTCGTTCATATGAAGTATTGGGCAGAACTATCTCTTCCTCCCCTCTTGGAAATTTGATAACATTAGCCGTTATCATGAATAAACGTTTTGAACTTCGAGTCTATGCATTCAGGTGTCCAATCCTAAATACATTTTTTTGTTTTAAAGTTGTTCTTACTTCACTCATTCCTTGTTCCATGCTTTCTGCACAGTTTCTATCTGAACATCAGAATTGAGAATTCAATTTCATTCTAAGAAGCATCAAAGAGTTGACTTTCGCAAATCTCCTCCTGATCATGATCTCAGATTAGGAAACTACAAGTTACAGAATGTCTGTTTCCTTTTTATGTTTATACTCCATGAATACTTCATAGATCCCTATAAGAATCGAATTCGATGATGACAACTTCTTCTAACGACTCTAATACACTTTGAATTTAATTTTTTCATTAATTTTTTTACAGATTTTCTGAATGAAATGGTAAAATGCTCCTCACTCAACCGGCATAATATCCTGGTGATAGGAGAAACAGGCTCAGGGAAATCTACTCTAATCAACTATATGACAAACTATTTCAAAGGCGGATCAGTTGAAGAACCAAAAATCGCTATTCCCACCAAACATTACAAGGCGACAGAGGAGTTTCAATCCTCTGAATTGGATCTTCACGATGTAACGAAGAGTAAGACTAGTGAATGCACTACTTATGGCTTCAAGAAAAGTAGTTATCTTTACAACTTCATCGACACCCCTGGTCTCAGTGATACCGAAGGAACAGAGAAGGACGATCAGCATATTGAAAAAATTATGGATGCCGTAGACAGAACTGGGTCTATGACTGCTATTATTATTGTTATTAATGGTACGGTGGCTAGAGCTACAGTAAACCTGCGGAACACTTTGGTTCGTTTAAGAGGTTCTGTACCAGACATCCTCCTGAATAATCTCATACTTGTCCTTACTAATTGTTCAGTGTCTTCATCTAACTTCAATCTGGAATCACTCGAGGGTTGGACGGTTTCTGATGAAAATGTGTTTTACATGAATAACTCTGCCTTGAGCAAACCAAAGGACTTATGGATTAACGACAACCGAAGAAAGGCGGGTCTTCTCAATGATTGGCAGGAATCAATGAAGGAACTAAACAGTATGATGATGAAAGTAAAGGACCTTGATGCTGTGGCAACAGATGTATTTGGAGAAATTCGAAAGAAGAGAGATGATATTAAGACAGGGTTTGCTGAAATCTTGCTCGTACTAGAGTGGATGCAGGATATGGAAGATAAAGTCATAGAGTTTGATAGCAGAAGGTGGAGCTCTGGTATTGAGGTGCTGATGCAGAAAGTATGTGAAATTCGTGAGTGTTGTCGCCAACTCAAACTTATCTGTAAAGGATTCAACTTCGTCGATGAGCTCAAGTGTGTCATT